CGGCGGCGCCCTTCGTCATCAGCGCGCGCGAGGAAGCCCTGCGTGGTCGGGGAAGGCCTGTCCGCGCCAGGGTGCCCGCGGAGCCTTGGGCGAGCCTGTGTTCTTGGACGTGATGCAGCCGCAAGTGTGTCCGACTACACAGTCTGTGTCCTCCAACGCCGTGGAGAAGGTGTGTCTTAGAACGAGCACGCAGAGCTGCTTCAGCGAGCTCCAGCTGATGGCCTCATAGTCGGTGCTTTTAACAACAAAATGCTGCCGACAAGACAAACACCTTAAAGCAAGAGACTATGACAACAGTTTTTCAGGTAGAGATTCTTTATTTAACACCTATCACATCACCTGAAAATAAGGCACACACAAAGGGGCAGCTCTTTATTTCTTTAAACAAAACAGTACATCGTTGGGTTCATTGTTTTAATAGCATATGGAGAAAGCAAGCTAGTCAGAGAAACAGGCATTACACCTTAGGTCAATATAAATAAAATCCAGGATCACTTTTATTCACCAGGACGCCCCCATATGTGTATCTCACTTGCCACATTCTACTGTAGTAAAAGTTGAATCCCAAGACGAATTAAACCTTGTGACAGTACCAAAGCAACTGTACTCATTTACTAGGCATCATCTTGTTACCAAAAAGTCGGGGAAAGAACTCTTCAATGCCAATGTAGTATTAAAGAGCAGGCATTCTTTATTCGGCGCTGGGGGAATCCTTCCACCTAACATGCACACCAATTTGTGAGAGGCAGGCATTTTTATACACGTCATGATTCACATATTATTTCCTGGAAAAAGTAGTCTTTTGTTGATTAGTTCCCAGAAGTCATTTACATATTTTCCCTCCCTTTCACACATAGGCCACACTGTCCTGGGGGGGGTCCCTCGGGTGGTCTCTGATGGTTGTAAGCCCCAAAGGGATTGTTCTCTTTCTCTCTTGTTCAGGTATCAGCAACTTTGGTTGCAGCAGTTAGCGTGTAGTTAGCATGTCCCCCTCCTAAGCGCAGATTTACACACCAACAACTTTGTGACAATATGGTTAAACTACAAGGACTCCACAGCAAAATCAAAAGCCACGGTGGTGCATGTTGTTCAGAGACTAATCAGCAGTATTATACAAACATGATGCCAAGGCAGTTTTCCCTGTAGCTCCAGCCTGTGTTACTAGCTGCTGCTGTGTTTGGTTCTTTGGTTTGTTTGGGGTTTTTGGTTGGTTTTTGTTGGTGGGTTTTTTTTCTGGGTTGGGCTTTTTTTTAATTAGGAATTTTAATGGCTCAAAAAGTTTTGCATTTTTACATTGGAAAGCTTAAAATAATGCCTCTAACTTTGAAGGGAACCAAGTTGCTTAGCAGCTTAGATTCTTCCTCCCCAACAAAAGTCTCCAGAGTGTGCAAGTTTGAGTATCTATGAATCTGTAGGAAAAACTAGATACTAAATTTTTCAATGAAACTAGGGTTTTGCTCCCCAGTATAATGCAAGCCAATCACTTTGCTGCAAAAATCTTTTACCAATAATGATCAGCTAAATCAGGCATGCCTAAAAAGTTCCAGTCTAGAAAACAAGCACCAACTCTGTAAGAAGGTAATAATTTCTACATTATTTAGTAGAATTACAAAAAAAATCAGAACACAAAGAATCACATATTAATGAATCATACACTTACAGTTGTCTTCAATGTAAGTTGAACATGCTCTGTGACTAGCAAAATATCAAATGAAGGTCACCTTCAGCAGCAATTTTACAGACTTAGAGCTTTGGTATTTAATACACTGTACATTTAAGAAAAATAATCCATGGAAAAGAGAGGGGTTGTACAACACGTATCTTCAAATGCAAGCTGATTTGCAATGCATCCTGTTCATCCCTACCATACAATGCAGGAAGAAACTACTCCTTGCACTACCGGTGTAAATTACTAAGCTAAGACCAGCATAGAAAGCAGCACGATACATGAAGGAATCAAGCTTTCAAGATAAGGCAGCCAACTGACTGAAAAAACAAGTTTTCCCACTAAAGTATCAGTACAACTTTTAACCAGGTGAATGCCAGCAAACTTCAGGCAGCTTCTTCACTGCAGTCGCACTCCCGTCCTCACTTCTCCTTCTGCGGTTGCACGGGAGCATTGCTTTTTTGGGCCACATCTAAAGAGTCCACGATCTGACCGGAGAAAACTGCTTCCAATCGCTCATCAATCTCCGTTTTTTCCCTTAACACACACCAGAGCAACAGCCCAGCGCCCAGCAGACTGACAGGCAGCACCTTCCCCCACGGCCTCTCGTGGTCACTCCCCATAGACCGGCTGACGCTCCACACCCGCGGACTGGCCTTGCTGGCGGAGAAGGGGATGGCCCCCCCGCCCTCCGGATCCGCG